TCTTGTTCATTGTTCTTTCTTTGCTGTACCTTTTTCCCTTCTTTCTTTTGATGTTACGGCTTCCCAACTCCTTTTTACCTTTTTTTTTTTTTTTTTATTTTTATTATACAAAGTCTACTCCTCTTAAAAAAAAGTGGCTGAGCCTAATTGGTGAGGGCTTGATCTAACAACAACAGGGAGTCTACGTTCTAGACTTTCAGTATTGAAACTACATATGAAAATATAATTTACGATTATCACAAAGATTTTGAGTATTGAAACTACATTTGTCGATACTATTTAAAGGTGAGCTTTACTTTGATTGTTTAGAGCCCAGGCTCTATATAAATCGCACCCAATTCTGCTTGAGGTCTCCCATGGTGCAGTGCATCATTTGAGGTGGGGTCTAAAGTTTCTGAAGTCATGGGCTCAAGTCAATGTCATGTCCCCCATGGTACAATGTATTATTTGAGGTGGGTTGTAAAGTTTGTACATTTTAAATGAAAGCCTCTAAAAAACACTCAGGAGCCCGGACCAACTACACATGAAAACACTGAATTTAACCTTGGGTTCAAAGGTCAAGCTAACCGAGCCCACACTTTCATACCGGATTTTATTTTTTAAAATTAATTTCTGTGTGCGATTTATATACAAGGCATCAACCTTGTAAGGCGTACTTCAACATTACGTTGTTGGAAACATTTATGATAGCTTGAAAATATAACTTTATCTTTCATTGTAAAATTTGGAGCTTCAAAAGTAAAGGCCATACCATGCAGATCTACAAGTACCTAAAACTCTTTAAGATAGATCGGGTAGATAATGTGTCACAAGATATATTATTGATGTTCAAACATGAAATCCCATTTTCTTTGACTTTATACGTCCCAAATCCCATTTTCTTTCGCCTTATATTTTGTGTGTAGCTGGCTTTTCTCCAACGGCACGTTTGGTTGTGTGTAAATATTTTTCCAAGAAAAATATGTAAATACTTTTAACATAAAATATTTTTGTAAAATTTTTTTTCTCCATGCTTCTTAACAAGTTTAAAAAGTATTGTGTGATGAATTTCATATATTTGGTAACTTGATTTAAATAAATTTCATATATATATATTTATATTAATATTATTTCATAAATATATTAATATATACATATATTGTTTTATATTTACAATAATGTTCACACTATAAAGCATTTTATAATTGTATTCAATAAATTTTAGGTACTTATAAACCATTATTTTGTACATGGATCATTTTTTTAATAAGTATACTTACGTTATTAAGAAAGGTGTGACATCACCCATGTGGAACACAATAGTGGCATTTAATACTCCATGTGGGTGATGTCACAACCCTCATAATAACCAAAATTACCTTTAATAAAAAATATTGTATTACAATACAAAGGTATGTTAAGGTGCTCATACTATTGAGTAATTTATCATTGTACTCAACAAAATTTGAACACTTATATATATTTTTTTCGTACAGGAAGTTTTTTTTAGTAATGATATTTTTTATCATTAGGAGAGAAGTGCATCATCTACATAAGGTGTGACATCATCTACATTGAGCATTAAATATCACTAGTGTGCTCTATGTGGATGACGTCATACCCCACCTAATGACCAAAGGGAAAGCTTTCTATGCTCCCCCTACAGCATAAAAGTTATATCCTCCCCTTTATCCAACCGTTCATCTTTTAATGGAAGGCAAATATTACCCCAATTACAATGTCACATCTCTACACTTATTTTATTTTTAGTTTTTTTTTCTATAAACTATTTTGACGCTAAATTTTGGAACTTCATTCCTCTATTAAACTCGCACTAACGAAATATATAAAAAAATAATTTTAATAAAATAA